CCCCCGTACCGCCTCCTCATGCTGCTGCCAGGTCCAGAGTGTCTCAGGGTCCCTGTACGGCCTCCCATTGCTGCTGTCTCCATCGCCACACTCTGCCATGTGCCACTTTCAGGTCTCCTCACACTGCTGGTGGGTTCCATTTTGTCATAGGGTGCTGGCAGATTACGGGCCTCCCATTGCTGCTGCCAGGCCCGTAATCTGCCATGGGCCCCTGTACCGCCTCCTCATGCTGCTGCCAGGCCCGTAATCTGTCATGGGTCCCTGTACGGCCTCCCATTGCTGCTGTCTCCATCGCCACACTCTGCCATGTGCCACTTTCAGGTCTCCTCACACTGCTGTTGGTTTCCATTTTGTCATAGGGTGCTGGCAGATTACGGGCCTCCCATTGCTGCTGCCAGGCCCGTAATCTGCCATGGGCCCCCGTACCGACTCCTCATGCTGCTGCCAGGTCCAGAGTGTCTCATGGGTCCCTGTACGGCCTCCCATTGCTGCTGTCTCCATCGCCACACTCTGCCATGTGCCACTTTCAGGTCTCCTCACACTGCTGGTGGGTTCCATTTTGTCATAGGGTGCTGGCAGATTACGGGCCTCCCATTGCTGCTGCCAGGCCCGTAATCTGCCATAGGCCCCCGTACCGACTCCTCATGCTGCTGCCAGGTCCAGAGTGTCTCATGGGTCCCTGTACAGCCTCCCATTGCTGCTGTCTCCATCGCCACACTCTGCCATGTGCCACTTTCAGGTCTCCTCACACTGCTGGTGGGTTCCATTTTGTCATAGGGTGCTGGCAGATTACGGGCCTCCCATTGCTGCTGCCAGGCCCGTAATCTGCCATGGGCCCCCGTACCGCCTCCTCATGCTGCTGCCAGGTCCAGAGTGTCTCATGGGTCCCTGTACGGCCTCCCATGGAGGGTTTTTAAGTACGACTCCCAGTGGGAGGTACATCGGGTGGCTTTGTGTGTGATAGTGAACGCTTTTTCCTATGTGACTGCTATGCCCAATCACTGAAATCACATAGTAAACAATAGAGACTAAAAGCAAGCATCTGTTCTCTCTGCTTTCACTGTAAGAGCAGAGAGAAGCAATGCTGCAGCCTGTGAGTGTATACTAGACTTTCAGGTTGTTTGTATACTCACATACTTCAGTGCCAGCCACCCCAGTGAACCTTATCACTGCCCTAGTATCCATATTCACTGCCTTAGGAAAATCCTAATAAACAATGCAGCCAGCACCTGTCACCTGTCCCAGTGCTCACAAAAACACCACCATACACCATACCAATGTCCGGATAACCACCATACTAGCATCCAGATCACAGTCATACCTCATGCCAGCGCCATTTGCCACACCAGCACCATGCTCACTGTCATATGCCATGCAAGCACCCTGATCAGTGCCATATGCCATACAGCACCCTAATTATCACCATACACCATACCAGCATCCTGATCACCACCATACTCCATGCCAGCTCTCTAATCACCGCCATACTCAATATCAGCATCCTGATCACCTCCTTACCCTACACCAATGTTCTGATCACCCCATATAAATACCCGCATCCTGATCACCACTATAGTCAATACCAGCTTTCTGATCACCCCATATGCCATACCCACTTCCTGATCACCGTTACACCGCCATACCAGCATTTTGATCACCCTGTATATAATACCAGCATCCTAATCACTGCCATACACCATATCAACCTCCTGATCCCCGCCATACCCCATACTGTAATTCTGATCACTGCTATACCTCATACCATCGTCCTGATCACTGCCATACCGTGTCCTGATCACCGCCACACCAGCATCCTGATCACTGCCATGCCTTATACCAATGTACTGATCACTGCCATATCTTATCTTTACCCAAAAATGTAGCAGAATACATTCTGGTCTAAATTAATGAAGAAAGATTATTTATGTGAAAATTACAAAAACTACACAATTTGTTTCCGGCATTTTTTACAGCAAAAAAAAAAAACCCAATGGTGATCAAATATCACTAAAAGGAAGCTCTATCTGTCTCAAAAGAAAATAAAATTCATATGGGTACAGTGTTGCATACCTGAGGAATTGTCAACACAGTGACAATGAAGAAAGCTGAAAATTGACCTGGACTGGAAGGCAGTGAAAGTATGGAAGGCGGTGAAATAAAATTTAAATAGAGCACAATATTAGACAGTTTTATGGTTGTGGCTTAATTATTATTTTACTGTGAATAGCTGGATAACTCAGTAATTAGTTTCTTTGGGAATATTGGCAAACCTTCACTATTAAAAATAAAATCTGTTTTTTGTATATTGCTCAAACCTCCCCAAGATTTGGACAAATCTAGCATCCCATTTAAAATGCAGTCTTTTTCAACATACAGTAAAAATCTGAACTTCTTACACACTATGTCATACTGTGATCATTCTGGTCCTTTGGTCACAATTATTCTTTCAGCTGTACTAATAAAGGATGCTTACTGTATTTCTGTTTTTTACTCTCTTGGCATTCACAGGGCAGTGCAGACGGTATTTATTCTTTCTCCATAGAAAAGATAATGACTGGCTATTAGTGGCAAAGAGATTTTCTATTATGTTGAAAATCTTTTTTGTGCAATAAGGATCACTTTTGATGATCAAGAAACATTTATTAGTACACCTCTGCATGGTATGACGGTTGTTAGAAACGCTTGAACTGGTCCCTATTTCTTGATTTTATCTAGGTTTGTATGGACAATTTTCAGCATTTAGGCAGCTGTTCTACTTATTTTAAATTATTTTGGAAATGACTATCTTTATTGTTTTAATTACACATAAAACAACTTGAACATAAAAAAAGCTTTGAGAAAATCTTCAATATATTAAAAAGCACAGGCCCTCCCCTTTTTATACTTACTTAAAAGAATGCACTGTATACACTGTTCAACAGGTAAAAAGTTTTGGGCATAAAATTAGCTAATCTTACATAATTTTGGGGTGCTGAAAACGAAAATGACCCTAAAAAATGTTGATTGGCTCTAGTTTCCATGATATATTCACCCATCTAATGACGTAAGCCATTCAAAATTATGATGCAACTTCAGCTGCATATTGCGCAATTGATACTGGTGACCAATAGAAAATTGCATGTATACTGAGATGATGCAATATTAGCCTTTAATTGCATCACTTCACTGCATAAAAGCTGCAGTATCTGTAGCTGATTGGAGTTCGACAGCGTCTTTACATTTCGTTTTATGCTTATATAGGCTACTCAGTAATGCCTCGAACTTGTGTGAATAAAGCAGATAATTTCTGCTATATCTGCGGTGAAATAACTTTTATCTCACAAAAAAGGAGGATAACAGGAATGATTAAGAAAGCCTACAACTTGTATTTTGGCTGCAAGATAGGAGACCAGGACAAGAGCTGGGCACCACATATATGCTGCAATTCTTGTGGGACGGCACTGGAGCAATGGTTGAATGGAAAAAAGGCATCTATGCCTTTTGCTGTGCCAATGATTTGGAGAGAGCCAACAAATCATGTTAGTAATTGTTACTTTTGTATGGTGCCTCCAACAAAAGGGCTAAATAAGAAGAAAAAGTTATCTGTGCACTATCCAAATATTCCATCGGCAATACGTCCAGTTGCTCATGGAGAGGGGCTACCAATTCCTAAAGCACCAGAATCCTTCGTGGTTGAGTCAAGTGAGGAAGAACCTGAAGCGTGTAGTCACGTGCAGTTGTAAGAGATAGCCCTTTCCTCGAATACAAGAGAAAAGCCAAGAGAAGCAAAACCGACACAAACTGAAGACAAAACTAGTGAGAATCCTAAGTATTAAAATGATTCAACTTAGCTTATGGCTATAATTTTTCTTGGTAATCCTATGCAATATATTATGCCATTTAGGCTTTGTTATGTAGTCAATATCACTTGCTTTATATTTGTGGAAAGACATCTATCTATATAATTATTGTGCATTATGTAGTCATTACGCCTATAGTAGAAAACTTTCCGTTTACAGAAAAACTAGAGCCAATTGACAAATTTCATTCTTATATTTGAACTCAGAATGTGAAATTCATTAAGAAATGGATCCTTTTGTTTCCAAAACTGGCAAAAAATAAAAATTTGTTGAACAGTGATATCATTAATAGATGAAAAGTAAATTTTTGTAAATAAGCTATAAACTGTTTTTTCTGATGTGTTTCAAGTACAATATTTTGAGCATTACAATACAGCAATGAATTTATTTTTCAGTATTTAATATGTTCTAGAAAGCATTATACATGTAATTTATTTTTAATAACTATTAGTTTTCCCCATGGGAGTGCACACATTTGTGCCTGTTTGCTTTGTGCTCAACCATGCATATTATTATGTCCTTTTTGTAGCCAGGTTTATTAAGTCAGTTTGTTGCATACAATTACTGCATGAGGAATAAACCTAGTTGCCATATAATTAACACAAAATTACTTTCTCGTTTAGCAGATAATGTTATTTTTACTAGCACAATAAACGTAATGTCATTCATCTGCTCTAACTGTACAAATATAAACTTTATTGGTACACTATAACACATTCATGATGACACTTTAAATGAAAAGCAAATATATCTGTAAATATATAGATAGTCTATAATATTTAAGTATTGCTTCTGTTCACATTTTCATGGTATAATATTACCGATGCTTCTGACAAGTGCAGTGTAACAGTGTTCATAGAAGTAAAAAAGAGAACGCTTAAATCTTTAATTTCAATAAGTATCTTGTAGAACTTGTCAGAGCTGTTAACCATAATGAACAATAAAAAATAATAGAATACACTTGTTTTACTGGCATTTTAGTGAAGAGCAGCTATACAGTATTCAGTATTAAGTATAAATAAAGGACAGACTATTGTACCCACACTCTAAATAAAGGTAAATTTAACCACTAGCCTACAGGGCACTCCTGCCCAGGCCAATTTCCAGCTTTCGGCGCTGTCACACTTTGAATGACAATTGCGCGGTCATGACAGATAGAGCTTTATTTTAAAACTTGTAAATAAGTGATTTTTCTCCTTCACTGATGTGCGCTAATGAGGCTGCAGTGATGGTCACTGATAGGCTGCACTGATGGACACTGATAGGTGGCACTGATGGGCACTGATGAGGAGGCACTGGTAGGTGGCACTGATGGGCATTGACAGGCATCACTGATGGGCACTGAAAGGCAGTACTGATATATGGCACTGATAGATGGCACTGATAGGCGGCACTGGACTGTCACTGTTAGGCGGCACTGACTGGCACTGATAGGAGGCACTGACGGGAACTGATAGGTGGCACTGACTGGCACTTATAGGTGGTACTGATTGGCATTGATAGGTGGCACTGACTGGCACTGATGAGTGACACTGAAAGGCAGCTCAGATGGGCACTGATATGTGGCATTGATGTGCACAGGTAGGCACTGATATGTGGCATGGATGTGGCATTGATGTGGCACTGGCACGTGGCACTGTTCAGCACTGGCAGCTGGCACTGATGGACACTGACAGGTTGCACTTCTGGGGCCACACTGATCATCAGGGCACACTGATCATCAGTGCCCTGATGATCAGTGTACATGTCCCCTCACCAGAATGCCAATTATCGGCTCTCCTCTCCTCTCAAGCTGTCAGCGTGATAGCTTGTGAGGAGAGAAATGCCGATAACCGGCATTTCCCTGTTTACATGTGATCAGCTGTGATTGGACACAGCTGATCACATGACCGAACAGACATCTTTGGCTCTTTCCATAGATCGGTGATCCGCTGTGTCCAAGGGACACAGCGCACCGCCGATCGCCGCGCGCGCGCTCCCTGAGCCTCGCATGTGCGGTGAGAATAGGGAGGACGTCATATGACGTCCTCCCAGAACGAGAGAACCACCTTGCGCCCATCATTGGACTATATGGCAGGCGGGAGGTGGTTAAAGGTTTCAGGCTGTCATTTCCAAGTTTAAATAAAACTTCAGGAAGAAACATTGTTTGTTTGGTTTTATTTGATCAAACATGAGTACTGCTAAAACAAGAAGACAACATTTTGGGCAGACCTACTTCTCCAGGTATACAGTATATAATTTCTATTTATATAACACCACTTACTGTATGCATTTTTCTCACCTATAGGACTAGCACTAATCTATCACATTTGGCATATTACCAAATTAAGTTGTTTGCTTAAACTCTCAGTTCCAGTGTATTAAACAATTTACAGATAGTGGCCCCATGGTGGTTTTTTTTCCATTTAGGACAGTCAGTCCCTTTTTTCCTTGTAAATTTCATCATGCAGATCCAGGGAAGGACTGACACCTTTTGGGGTCCCCAGGCAATAGGAGATCATGGGGCCCCTGTGTCTATGCCCACACTCAAGCCACACCCTCACAAAGCCCCACCTACATATTGCACTGCCCACATTACATGCGTTTGTCACAGAATTTCCCTACACTATGTTCAAAATAAATGTTAAATATGTTAAGAAAATAAAGAAAAATAAACTTACATTAAAGGTGCAACAATGGTAGGTCCTGGTAGGTGGGTGGACAGTGGATGGTGTCATTAGCGCAGTGGATAGTGTCAGTAGAGCAGTAGATGGTGTCAGTAGTTTTTATTTTTATTATATTATTTTTTACAAATAAATTTTTTTTTCATTTTTTTTCGCAGTTTTTTATGGGGGGGGGGGGATAGTGGACAGTGTCAGTAGGGCAGTGGATGGTGTCTGTACAGCAGTGGATAGTGTAAGTGTTTTCTATTTATTTATTTATTTATTACTATTTTATTTTTAATTATTTTTTACAAGTTCATTTTTTATTTATTCAATTTTCTTAACAGCCCTGTTGGGGGGTTTTGGTGAAATATCAGGAGTCTGAACAGACCCCTGAAGTCTCACTTTTTAGACAGAGAAAGGAAGAGAGAACACATTCCTCGTACCTTTTTTTGTAGCATCAGCTGCACTGCAGATGAATGAACAAGAAGCAGAGGCTCCTGTCTATTCATAACCTGCATAATAAACACAGTTTGCCGATCACTGACTCTGTTCATTCAGAAAATAAAGGGGCCATAAATGACACAATTATCTGCTCTCCAACCTGACACATCCCCCATAGCAGCTGAGGGACGAGGTGGGTGGGGGGAGAAATTACAAGCACCAATTTCCCTGTATGGCTTTCCATGAAGCAACTAAGTAAGTTGCATCAAATTAGCACATGAACCTTTTCCATGATTGCACCATGCTGAGTTGCAATGATGTGAATGAGCACCATTGAATATGAATCCTATTGTCATGCAGTTCCATGTGATTCAGGTCACATTAGAGATTGCAGCAGTGTGAACCAGCACTTTATAATATTTTTTTTATCTAAAAATAAGGGTGCGTTTTAGTATTTCTTCTTCAGGCTTATTTTTTTTTGAAGGTTTTTATTTTTTGCCAATACCTTTTTTTTCAGGTCCACAATGTACATTTGTTGCTGACACAGGAAAAGCTGACCTTTTGTTTGAAGCATGTTAATGCATGTTAATACTACTTGTGCAGTATTGTATTGTGCACCAAACCTCTACATATTTTTCTCCTTTTGACATATCTGTCATAAAGGCAATCCTCTTTAATAAAAAATCTCACATAGGCCTAAAGAAAGAGACATAGGTTCTGCATGCCAAGATAGTAGAGCTCAAGCAGGTTCTGTAGTAATACTCAGGCCGAACCATCTATAGGTAGGGCTCGTCTGCCTGTTCTATATTAGAGTGGTCATACTATACAGCCAGAGCATAGGGAAAAGGTAGGTGAGTGGCTTACAACCTTTTTTCTTCTTTTCCCAGGTGCAGAGCAACCAGTGGTGTGCAACTGCTGCCAATACTCTCATTTTCCTCTTCTTCTGCTAATCCCACCATAGGCCCTAACCCTGTTATTTCATCACACATTCAGTCACTTCATACAGAGGGATGATCTTGGTCATGCACAAGTATTCCTCATTTATAACATTGGGAATAAGGGAGATATTATTTGGACCATAGATGGAGGGGGCATCAGGTAGAGAGTTGCAAGAGGCAGTAATGTCCCAGCAGCTAGAGCTTGCTGCCCAATGAACTCTAGCAATATGGAGGGGTACATGATGAGGTGGTAAACTGTACATGGGTGCCATGAATATATCCACATCTGCGCTTGACTGCATGAAATCATTGATCATCAGGGGTTATCTGCTCCTTGTGTCAGCAGCCAGAACTGGTTGATGCATCACAAAGAAAGACCTAAACGTTTTGCTTAGGCAATTTTTTTTTCCGTAAAGGACTCGTTAAAAACTGCGTGGTGTTTTTATTTAGACTTAGCCTTTTTTGATGAATGAGTACTATGTGCCCTGTAGGCCGTGTACCAGGGTGGGCTCCCTAGGATACAGTGAAGTCACAAACGAGGAAAGCAACCCCAACACCAGCTTTTGCCACAGAACAGAATTTTATTAGATGTGGCAAATAAACACAACCACAAATGCTGGAAGCATACAATAAATTTACATACACCCAGCCCAAAGGCTGAGACCCTTGTGCTGCACAGCACGGCGCCTCCTGATGGTTGAAGGTAGAAAGTGAAGTAATTTGCCTACTGGCGGGCACAACTAAGCTGCCACACCTTACCTGCTATTACCCTAAAAGAGCAGGAATCAGTGTATGGGTGTACAGTATGGGCTAGCCTGCAGTGCAGCACAACAACTTACAATCTTACACAAATCAACAGTATTCCCTCTCCCACAACTGGTCCTGTAGCACATGCCTGAGTATTCCTTCTGAGCAAAACGCCAGTCTGGCTTGAGTTTTTAGGATTTTATCAGCTCTCCAATGTGAAATGTCACTTTAAGTTGTGGAGTCCTTCCAATGATCAGTAACAACACTTGTGGCCTGACGCAAACAGAGACCCTAACTAATTAACTGTAGGCCTGGTCTCAAGGCGCCAACACTGAAATGAGGTGCGTGCACAATCGTACCGACCCAGGTCTGCTTTGTATCTGCTGGTGACACTGAACAGAACAAATGTCTCTCCAACAAGCATGCGGTCTCGCCGTATATGTTGCTTAGTTCCTCTGCTCTTATCAGCATTCCTGGCAGCATTCTCATTAGCTTCCTGTAAGCAATCTCATCAGCTTCACTTAGCTGCAGCTTTGGTTACGGAGGGATGCTTTCACACCTGGATGTCATCAGATTCTCAGCTCACAGGGCCCCTTATTCACCATGCTCCAAAAACATGGCTGCTCTCTATCTCTCTCTGTGTGAAAACTCCACCTCTTCATGAATATAGAAATATCTATGCAGTCTGAGGCTGTTAGAAAAACAGTGACATCTTGTGGCTAAACTACAGAATGTCAGTCAAAACATTTAATTTACTCCACACAAGCAGTATTCAAACAATGAGAGCTGTTTCCCCATCTCACAGCCCCATACCCATTCACATGGGTGGCAGAATCTGGAGACCCCCTTGTTAAAGATAAGTTACCCTCCCTGCACCCCAACAATCAAGGAGCCAGGGTTGTCGGGAAGAGGCCCATGTCCTCATCAACATGGTGAGGGCGTGTGGCCTAATATGGATTTTTTAAATTTTGCAGTGAGGTCCCCCCCAAAAATCCATACCAGACTTGAAGGGCCTGGTATGGATTAGAGGGGAGAACCACTCTTTTTTTCTTGTACTGTCGGCTCTTTTGTTTACATACTGCTATCAGCAGGTAATCCCTGGCTGATGGATGAGTCACTGGTTGTTAAAGATGTGGAGGGTGCCATCTCCTTAACAATCAGCAGCCCACAGCTGAACTGTCACATTTAGCAGTGGTGAGAAGACCACTGTTAATATTTTGGCTCCCACTGTAGTCAGTCTGAGATAGAATAATGTACAAAATATACATTAAATACCACAAACTCCCCCCCCCAAAAAAAAAAAACTTATAGTATTTAACATGCATTTTTGTTGTGAATCGTGTATTCCTGAGCTAAATACTACATTAGTTATTTCAACACAAATACACATGCAATGTTCAACTCTTACTGAATTTAGCCCATTTCCCCTTGTGTATATATTCCACCAAATCTTTTTTTTTACATTCTTTGTTTGAGAGGATCACCAGAAGAGAAAAAATCATCCAGCACATAATATACAGTAAGGAAGCCAAACCGACTATGTTCCACATAGCGCATGATAGAATACAAGGCAGTTTGTCAAATTACAAATTACACAGACACATGTGATGTAACAGAATAAGTAGTACTGTGGACATAAAATACTTGGTGAAACCCCTCATACTTGAAAGTTCTCAAGGAAAACATCCAGGACCTAACATGGGGTAGTAAAACTAAGCAATAGAAAAACAGTGGGAGAGGGAAGGGGTGGGCTCTGATCTGAGGGTGTGCAGGGTGCTAAAAACTTGGGGAAGAGAAAAAAAAGGGGGTATTTCTTCTCCTTTCTTATCCCCCACCCCAACAATTATTTTGCTCTGAATTCCAATATCATAAGTTAAACTCCTGTGAGAATCCTCAGATATTCTACCACCACTGAATTTAATACCAAAAGGATGGACCTCAGACCCTAGAGGTCAATATTCACCTGAGTATGGTATAATCTCCCTACTGGATTAGGAATGGACTTCAATCCCCTTCACAACCTTTGACATAAAAAAAACACTGGTGTCCACAAAAAAGAGAGAAAACTTTCACAGTGCAAATAATCCAAGGTTGGTTTATTTAAAACACCACCAAAATCAGTAGCAGTGATTCAGCTAG